CCGGCCGTGATGACGCAGGTGGCCGTGGCAACCAACCCGACCCACTACGGCAACCCATCCACTGGCTGCGAGTCCGACGAGGTTGACGTTCGCGTGAGCGGGCTGTCGGGCGACTTCTGCAGTCCGAAGTGCAACAGCTCCGGGGTTTGCCCCAAGGACATGCCCAAGGGTGATGCAGCAGTTCCCGAATGCGCATTGCGCACCACCACTGGGGACAAGTACTGCGGACTGGTTTGCCGATCCGACTCAGACTGCGGAACTGGCTCCTGCCAGACCAGCCTGGGGGTCGGCCTCTGCACCTACGCCGCCGCGGATGCAGCGCACCCGCTGCAACTTCTTCCTGCCGAGGCGGCACAGATCATCGTCTAAGCTCGAGGGAGGCGAGCTTCTTCCACGGTGGGTGCCCTGCGCTCACATGTGAGGTCTGACTCCTGAGTAGCAAGGACTTTGCAGCAGCAGTTTGTTTAGTTTGCCAGTATGATCAGCATGCTGGTCTCTCGCAGCTGCCCGGTGCCCTCGGTGCTGCCGGCAATTTGTGCATCCTGCAGCACCGCCAGTGGACAACCGGATTAGCCTGCAATAGCAGTTTCCTCAGCGAAGGGGTCGTGTGACAATGACAGATAGATAACTTCCGAGGTTCCATGCTGAGACTGGACCCCTCCGCCATCCCAGACATATTAGAGTGCGGCGTATATTCAGCCTGATTGGGGCCGTCGCACCTGGTTTCAACCAAAGAAGTCAGGGGAAGCTGCAACGGGAAATGCCGCGTTAGTCACAGATACGCATAGATTCCTAGATGTCGTGCATGGTGGTTGCCAAGCATCTGCCAACGATAGGAAATGGGTGCTGAAAGCGAGCACAATGTTCAGCAAGCAGCTTAATTTCGCGTAACGCTTACAGTATGCAGCTTCCCATGCCTCGTCTCAGCTGTGAGTGCCACACATGCGACCCGACCACAAAAAAGGGAGGCATAGTTATAGTGCAAGCGTAAACCTAGTATGTCGCTCGTTTTGAAAAAGTTGCGGCGAACGTGCCGCGCTCCCGACCCGTATGGACTACTGAGCATTTCTATATTCCTAACCTGCTTAGCACGTCGGCGTTCATGCTTATGACTGTGTTGTATGGCTCTTAGCAAGCTCGGAGACTTATTGCCATGCCTGCAGTTGCGAGTGTGTGAGTCGAAACCTTACAGCCCGATGGCCCGATGCTACCGACACAGAGCATTTCCTTCGGGCAACGAGGTTTGTTATGACTTTGTTTTGGGAGTCGTAACGCCGCGGTTCAATGAGGAAAGACCTCCCCCAACTGCTGCTGTTATGACTTCGACCTCACACAATATTCTAAACTGAGGCCAATTCTCAGAATTTGCAAAAAGTGGATCGGCGATTTCTCAGAATTTGAATCAAGCTCATTTCTCGGAATCATGATTCGGCTGTCGTAAGACTATAATTCAATTCTGATTCAGATATATTTCAGATTTGATAAGGCTATAATAATTCTGGCATGGCTTGGATTCCGGATGCCATACGATTATATTTAGATTACGATCTAAGTTTGATATATAAATAAATTGAAGATTTCTTCTTTTTTTTTCGATAATCTTTCGATGTATTGGGATCCTAGGATTCAAATTTCAGAAATATTAATTTGAAATCGTATCTTTTAAGGAAGATAAGGTCGTATAATGTCAAGATTCTTAGGAATTTTAAAATTTCAAGGTCTGAGATTTATAAGTATGAAGGAAATAGAAGAATCTAAGATATTTGATTTGCTGAAATTAGAAAGTTGTAAGAATTTTTTAAGATTTGAAGAGTCTAGGATAGAAAAATTAGAATCAGATTTAAAAATAAATAGTAAAAATCTAAAAATTCGAAATTAAGAATTATTAGGGCCCTAGGATCTTGACCCCAGAACGGAAAGAAAAAATCTGGAATTATGAGAAGACATCCCCAAAATAAATAAATTTTAAATTCAAAAATATGAAATAAATAGAAGAAATCTAAAATACCAAAGATTTAGAAGAATCTAAGATCTTTGACTTATAAAATTAAAGAGTCGCAAAATTTGATAGGCCCAAACTAAAAGAGCTAGATTATAAGATAAAAGAAAAGAAAGAGAACTATTCGAAGATTTGAATCTCAGGATTTATTTTCGAAGGAATTAATTTCAACAATATATCATTTAAATTCGAAGCTGTAAATTTTTTTTAATTATCTTATATATCCCCGAATCTTGAATATTAGAAAAAAATAAAAAATAAGAGAAATGGAGAATTTAAGAAATACATATAATAAAAAATAAATAAAGAAATAAAAAAAATTGGTGGCGAAACTATTGCCGCGAATTAGTTTTATTGGAAATATCTTTAAAACTATTTGCGAAAAAAATTCTTTTTAATATAAATAAAAATAATATTAATTTATATTCGAAAATAATAATAGAAATATCAATAGAAATAAAATATGAATATAATAAAGATTAGTGCGAGATGATGAAATTCAAAAATTATATTAATGAGAAAGAAAGCATACATCATATAATAAATATATCTTCTAAATATTCTAGCATATTTTATTATCAATTTTTTTTAATATTAAATCAATATCAGTAATAATACAT